CGACGACGTCCAGATTTACCTCTCCTTCAATCCAACCGAATCCTCTGGCGCCATCCAAAAATTACAGGATGATATAAATGCAATATGTGCCTGGGCAAATTACAATAGGATTACTCTAAATGCCAATAAGACGAAAGCCATTCTGATCGGATCTCCCTCACTCCTCAAATCCATACAGATACCCAATCTTTTCCTGAACAACGCACCTATCTCATTCCATACTTCCATAAAAAACCTTGGTGTTACATTCGATCAAACCCTCTCCTGGAAACCACACATCTCCCAAATTTCCCGTCGTACTGTCTCTACCCTGAAACAGTTTAACCGTCTCCGCTATCTCCTTCCATATAAATCCCGTCAACTCCTGGTTTCCTCTCTTGTGTTCCCCCACTTCGACTATGGCTGTCTGGTGTACGGCGGACACTCGGGAGAATTCGAGGCCAGACTTAAACGCCTAATGAACTGCGCAATACGTTTTGTTTTCGGAATCTCAAGAGATACACATATAACCCAGTATTACACCAAGTAGAAGTGGCTCTATCCATCCAACCGCCATTTGTACTTCCTTGCCACTTTTCTATACTAAGTAATCAGAACTCAGCGGCCTTCCTATATTTTTCACAACCTACAATTCAAATATTCCATTCAATCCCGTCTCACGAGATCTCGTACCTCCGAACTCTATCCACCTCCCCACCGAACTGCAGCGTTTGACAAATCCTTTATAATTCAAGCCGTCTCCTTCTGGAATACCATCCCTCCCGATATCCGACATGTACAATCAGTTTCCTCATTTAAATCTCTCCTTTTTAACCACCTACTCCTTTCCCAACCTGATTGATCATGAAATGTAGATAAGAGAACTTTTAAAGTTCCCCCAGAAATTATTTTCTTTACTTATGCTATTTTATTTTATTATATAGTTTGTATTATACATATCAAAATGTTTTTAGTGTGATAGTTATATTTTTTGTTTTATTATTTTTTCAAAATCTATATCTTAATAATAAATGTAAATAATTAATTTTATGTATGGCCACACAGGCATTTATTCTGTATCTGTAATTTGTCCTAAAGGGACAACAGTCCCAGGATAATAAAAAAATATATTCATTTCATTTCATTTCATTTGAACAAGTGCATGAACTGGTCATAAATTATTTGCAATTTTTTTTTATCATTATCCTACTATACTATAGATACCCCACTTTTAAGAAAACTTCTTCATTTAATAAGCTTAATATGGGCTTAAAGCTTTGAGTTGAGGTTTATTAGGCAAAACCTTGAAATTCACCTCAAGTTGTGGAAAGAAATGAAGTAATTTTCTGTCCAGTCACCTAAAAGTACTCCTGTTTTCAGCAAAAATGACTAAAATTAACTGTTGCAAAGCTTTTATTTCTTGTTTTTCTATGGTCTGGAATGTATTGTAATAAAAAAAATTGCCTTAATACACATTTTATTTATAAAAATAAACAAAATTAAAAATAAAGATTTTCAAAAATTTTAAATGTAAAATTGTAATAAAATTGTGTTTTTATCTTAGATTTCTGTCATAGGAATTGATCCATATTTATCAATGACAAACATAATGTTTCTAGTCCTAACATTGATGTTTAAAATACATGAATCTGCTAATAGCTTCAAACATTTTCACGAAAACATAAATATTTGGGCTAGAAACATTAAGTTTGTAACTTAAAAATGTCTGGTAGAATAACAAGTGACCACCTTACATAAAATATATTAAAAAAATGATTATTCTTAAATTTTTTTATCAAAAGAAAAGTGTATTTAGGCAATTATGTTTATCACAATATATTCCAAATGGAAAACAAGTAATAAAAACTTTGCAACAGTTAATTACAGTAATTTTGGCTGAAAACATGGGTACTATTATGTGACTGGAAAGAAAATCACATCATTTCTTTACATAACTTGAATCTGATTACATAAATTGAATAGTGAATCTCAATTTGTTGCCTAATAAACCTCCACTTAATTAATATAGACTTAAAACCTATTAAACACGAAAATTTTCCTAAAAGTGGGGTACCTGTAGTATAGCTGGGTGATAATAAAAAAAAAAAATCACAAATAATTTATGATTTTTTTAAAAACAGAACTTAGTTTAGTTTAGCTGGTCAAAAGTCCTCTTTAAATGGTTTTAATAATAACAAACTCTATTATTATATAAATTGAATTTTGTCTAGTTTACTGTGAAGCAATTTTTAATTACTTAAATTAAATATTTCTTTAGTTATCGCTTCCTATTCAACAAAAAACATGACTTACTTAAAAAACATAAAACTTGGATTTCCTAGTTTTCTGCTGAAAATTGACCCATTGTTTATATGAACTTTTTTTGTAGGTTTTGAGATCTGATATCACTCATATAAAAATTTCCCTCTACTTACCCCAGTATACTTTGAGAAGACAGAATTTCATATCATATAATATTTTTTTTTACAAAACTGGAAGCAACTCTCAGCTTATTCTGTAACAGAGCTCAACATAGTTATCATGGACTTAAAGCTTATTAAAGAAGGAAGATTTTCTTAGAATGGGAATTTGTATTCCAGGAGGCTGGTAAAAAAAATTGTGTAAGTCTATAAGTTAGGAGAAAAATAGAACTTCACATATTTCAGCCATTTGAAAGCTTTCTCAAAATGGTTTTACAGATATAAAATTCTACTTCAATTTGAAGAAAATGTCTAGTTTGCTATGAAGCAATTAGTAATTACCTAATTTAAACATTTTTTTTTTTCAGAATAAGTCAGTCCTTTATTGGACAATGCAATAATTATACTATTATATAATATAATATTTTTTGACTGCACCCCTGACTAACTTCTTTTGAAATTAGAATCTATAGTCAACCATCTCCATACAACTTTTTTTTTTTTTAATTGTTACTTCCTATTCGACAAAAAACCTAGAAGCCTTAAAAAAGAAATATAAAATTTAAATTTACATTTTTCCAAATTCAGAATTGAACTGAACCATAGAACAAAGACTGTTATATAAAATTTGAGGTCTACTATGTCTTTAAAAATTCCACATTATTCGAAGAAAAACCTGTATAATATGTTTAAGGAAATGTCTCTAACATTTTCACAATATTTAAAAATGAAAGTAATAAAGGATTAGATAATCCTAAAATAATCTAAATTCTTAAGATAAAAATCACTCATTAAAGGTAAATTAGTAGAATTTCTTTCATACATTTATTATTAATCCAAAATAATTTTAAATATTATGAGAAAGTTTTATTGTAGTAGATAGGAACCATCAAATAGTTAGAAACCAATATAATAAAATATCTTTGCTTTATTACAACAGTTTTTAAAATTCCATTACCAAAATTGTACTTAAGCATATTAATGAAAATTGAGTGGCTTCATATCAATGGCTGTCATTTTTAAAAAAGTTGAAAAAATCCTATTTTTGTAACATAACTTTAATTTAAACAGATTCTAATGATTTTTTTTTTCATGACTCAACTTGAACATTCTTAAATAGAATCATCAGAAACAATTTAAATTGATCCTATAAATAAAAAATCGGCTTATTCTTCACTTTCTAAAAATAATAGATTTCCGTTTTTATTTTTTTAATATGAGGCAACTCAATTTATTTCAAAAGACCCTCCCATATATAACTTGATTCATTCTTGTAGAATTATGGTACAAAACCTTTACTGTACATATAGTATCAAGTGTGAAGAATGAAAATCAAGCAGGCTAGAATAGATAGATTTTCGGCCTAAAAAAACTATTTAAATATTTCCAGGATCTTAAATGAATAAACACCCATTAATCCCTTTCTCTCTCTCTCTCTCTCTCTTTATCCTTGTTGAAAAAACTAAGTTATTAGAAACAATAGAGATTAAAAAAATAACATGAAAGTATAAATTAATTATGGAATAAAGACAATAATTTAGCACAGCAGTTTATACAAACATAATTAGTCTTACACAAAAGTTTGTGAGTATATGTATGGAGACACAATCATACACTCACTTTAACAAGGAAAAACATTTAATAATTGGAGGGGGAAAAAATCCTAAAGTTTTAGTCAAAATTAAGTGCTTGTTTTTTTTTTGTGTGTGGTTTTTTTAATAGATATTGGGAAAATAAATTATTCAATTTATGTTAGAGAAAAATGATAGATGTCCGTTTTACTTTTCTGTAAGTTTGTGTAATAATCTCAAGTAGGAAAAGGATCAGTAGAGAAACTATACATACCTCTTGTATATATACAAATCTCTATAAATCTTCAAGGATTCTGAATCAGTTGGATTATGTAGAAATATTTTATTGGTCATCTTATTTGTTTTCATTAACCTGAATAAAGAAAATTATTTGTCAATAATATATTTTAAAGATAAAGCATTTTAATTAGACAGAACAATAGATAATACTTTTTTTGAGGAAGGGCTGGATTCTCTTCATTTTTTTTAATTTTATCATCAAGATAAGATTTAAACAGTTGAATAGGAGGTCGACAAGCAATTTTATACTCACATCTTTCAAATTGTTTAATACTAAAACAACAATTTACAAGTAATGCTCAGGGAATAGGGTCAAATATAGTTCACATTATTAGATTAATACACTTACCCTTGAAATTGACTTTGTTTGCAAGATTTAAGTTTTGAATTTGTTAAAGGGGTAAAAGGCGAAAAACATTTTGTGATAAACCTATAGGAATTTTCAGCTAAAATGCTGAAAAGGTAAGAGATACAAAGTTGCCAATAGTTGATAATGATAAATAGTACATTTCAATTTACCTTATGCTATAATTCGATCCATTTTTTTCAAGTATTTTTTCTTTTGCAGTTACCTCTTCCATTACCTTAAAATATTTATATCCTAGACATCATTACATTTTAAAATATGTTACTAATAATTTTAACCTCGTTTTTATATTTGCCGCCATTTTTCATGAACATTGTAAGCAGATTCTATAAGAGGTTTTATCCCTAGTGTCAAAAAATTTACCTACCAATGCTGTACCATGACGTCACTTCCTTGAATGTGTCAAACTCAGTGGGGTTTATCGCAAATCTCATGACATGATTCTGTGCTGGTGGTTAAGCTATGGGTTGCTGTTTATAAAGTTGTGTTTTTAATATTTCGATAAAGAGTTCTGAAAGGACCTTTCCTCGCCAATTTGACTGACCTTAATATATTTTTATAATTTACTTTAATAGTAATTTCCGATCAAGGAATAATTTCCATTTAGGGAAAAACGGTTTATTTCGTTAGGAAGGAAAGGATATGTCGGACCGAGAGAGCGGAGATGATCAACCTCAGGGTCAAAGTAAGAAGCTATTCTCATATATTTTGTTGATCTGTTTTTTCATTGATGACAGTTTTAGGTTATTTAGTACATTTCTTAATGCACTGATATAGGACTTTGAAAATCCTTCATCAGTTTCAAGATGGCGTTCTATATTCTATTTCATTTAAATTTAATGATAATGTTTCAATTTGTGCTTTTACATACTTATATCACCATCATATATTGTTAGCATATGTACAATTTGGTTTAATTGTGTAAAACACAGTTGTTCTTTGTATATGAACTGTTTGGCTATTATTTTGAAAATCTTTTTTTAACAGAAAAAATGCCTTATATGGTTAATAAATAAGTCCTTTGATAATCTGTATAAATAGTTTTCAATGTCTTCTTAATGCGGAAGGGGGTATAGTACATCATTACAATTTGTTTGTGTGATTTTTTATTTTTGACTCAGCTAATCATTTTTCATAGTCAATCAGGCTTAGTGCTATTTTCAGATTGTGTGATTGTGTATGCTCTTAAACTGATCTGTTTCTTAGCATTATGAAACTATTTGCAGACTAATTCATTATCTTAATACTTTAGTTATTAAATTTATAACCTATAAGGTAAATTTTGTGAAGCTGAGTAGTTTCACTGTTTACAATTCAAATGTATGCTGTTTAACACATAATGATTTGATGTTATTAGTAAGTTTTAAATGTATTTATTTGATAAGCACTGTTTATGCTTTATATTTATTTTTGCTATGATAAGTGTTGAAAGTTTATAATACAAGATTCAATATAGTCTAAAACTATCGCCTAATGATAATTTTATTTGATATTCTTTTTAATTTCATTTATAAATTATCAATGCAATGCTTCTCTAGGCTATGTCACAATTGTTTTTAGAATGATCCATTCTTCTATTACCTCCATTCATGATTCAAATTTTTTAGTACTATCAGTTTCATTTCTAGATTTAGATATTCTTTAATATAATTTCATTATATCTGTATTCAGTTGTTACATTGATTACATTTCAAGTTCAGCTTGTAATAAGAATATTACCTTTTCAGATAAATATCATGGCCAAGGAAGTGGGCTCGAAGGGTCTGGCAATCCTGTATTTGATTCAGGTAAGATTTGTTCTTTTTCTATTTATATGTTAAAGTAGTTGATGTAATGAAACTGCACCTTTCTGAACTTTTAAATGTTTACTGATTGAAAACATCATAATTAGTAAGAAAAAAGGTTCTACAGTATGTCCTTGTTATTGTGTACTCGGATACAACAAATACATTGTTGATCGATCAAAATTTCGTGGTTTTCCTACACCTTATTTTTGCCACAGTAATTCCATTACTATGAACTGCAAAATAGTGTTGGATCCCTGGTTGCAACAAACTCAGGAAGTTGAATTTTATTAATGTTGTTATTTTAACTTAAAAAAAAAAAAAAAATCTGTACCACTACAATCCATGAAGGGTCTTGGGTTCTGTACTATTTAGGGAAAGCACTGTTTCTTGGTCTATGGTTGTGCAAGATGGTGATTTGACCAAGATCATGCTCAACCGCCAGGTTTTCCCCCTTTATTATTATAATTAAGGGTACCCACTTTATAAAGACTAGGTGTGCCCCAGTAGGAGTGTCTATCTACTCAGGGTCGCGTCACGGCCAATGTATCAGAATAAATAATTTTTCTGCCATGAGCCGGGATTCGAACCTGGGACCTTTACCATTGGAAGCTCAGTACCCTACTACTATGCTACCCCACTATTTTAACTTTTACTGCATCTACTCCCCTTTTATTTATATGAACTATTTGGATAGCAGTCAACTGCAATGGTACTTTGTTAAACACTCAGTAGCTTTTTTATGCTTCTCTCTTTTAGCCAAAATTCTTGAAATCTTTTTCCTGCTAAAGTCATTAAACTTTTTTCATAATGTTAAATTATCTGAAATACGCAGTTCAGTTTCATATTTTATGAGCTAAGAAAATGTTTTGTGCCATGAAAGTGTTGTCTGATGTATTTCCAAACTGTATAAAATGTGAATTAGCACAACCTTCCAGTTAAGACAAAACTAGGATGTTTTTTCACGTTTGCAATAGTAGAGCCTTTATTTATAATAACATTTTTAAAAGGAAATTGTTTTTGTTGTATTACCAACCTTTTTTTTTTTTTTTTTTATAAAATATGAATTTTGTTATAATGAACTGATGAGGTCATTGTAATGAAGGTTTACTATAGTTCATACAGGATCTGTCTGGATGGCATATGGACTAAGATCACTTTAATCAAACTTGTATATGGAAGGGTAAAAATAGCAGAGTTTGCCCATAAGACTACAAATAGGCATAATTTTTACTCATCACATTTCACTCCTTACTAATAAAAAATATAGATCAAACTGTCTATAATTAAACCTAAAGCTATGGTTTATTGTATGCTGATGATCGAATATTAGGTCAAACTTAATTTGAATGTTTCTGGCTGAAGATAATGGTAATCATAACAGCGTGTGCTTTTTTGAATTTTCAAGCACCATAACTACAAATAACAATGATTACAAGCCAGGAATCCAAATATAATATAAGTATTTAAATTTGGGAAACTAATGAAATAATTAATGCAGTGAAGATTGAATTTCAATAATTTAGCAACAAAAAATATTAAGATTTAAAAATAAATAAATAAATTCCATGAGTTTTTTATTTATTTTTTATTTGGGTTTACAACATTTGTTTCTTATCAAATCTGGAAAAGTGGAAATTTTAGTATCAAACCATTAGGGTTTTGGTCAGGTTGGATTTTAAATATAAATAATATGCTTCCTTGTTGTTATAAAGGTTCCAGTTTTTTCTATAGTACTCTTGAGATCAGTTTGTTTCATACCTTCCTACAAACAGTTTTGATAAAAGTAAGTTAAACATTTATATTATCGTATCTTTATCGTTATTTTTATAGTTAAATAAAGATTTTGAAATTTTTCTGAGGTATGTCTATTACTTGTACCGACCCCTTGTCCATTACTATAACAATTGAATTTTTGGGTATCTAATGCAAAAAAGTGTTGTTTTTTTCAATGGAGATTATACTTACATTACTGAACATTTTTCAATTTTAAAATGTTAATAGAAAAAGGTGACCTAGAGATTCTAAATGTTTAACAGAGAAGTTTATTACTATAATAATTATGGCGACATAACCCAAAAAAGATAAAAATTCCCTTAGCTATGTCCATAACTGGTGTGCTTACCCTACTAGACACAAAGTACAGTTTTTATTCTGTAATATTGCTTAAAATGAAACTATGGAATAAAACCTAACCTAACAGAAATATTTTGATATTAAGGAATAAAATGTTACCTAACCCAACTTAAAAAACGTTGATCTGAAATAAAAGGTAATAAAATTTAACTTAACCTACCTAACGGAAAGCCTAACTTTTATGTACTTTATCACCATATGATATGGGACAGAACTATTTCTGTCACTTCATATGTAATTGAAGTGATCTTGGTCCGCAAATTATCCAGATGGAGCACTTGTGAACTAGTACCACAAAAATATATGGTAACACTGTAACAAGTTTGTTTGTAATGTGACTCAAGATCATTTCATTCACACTGGAATGCAGAGTTTATCTAAAAATATGTGTAGGTGATCTTAAAACCTTTCTATTAATAGTGATATATTTCTATAGATAGATTTATAAAATAATAGCATGATCCGAATGACTATTGTAAGGTTACATTATATTCCATATGTCGAAATAAATACTATGTATTTGGTTTCAACCGTAGGTAATCACACCCCTATACGTTTTCGGATTATTAAGTATATTGAAAATAATCACAGTGCTAGAATTTAAAAATAATAGTAATTTTATTAAGTTAATTTGAAAAGTTTAAAATTAAACATCCAACTTATTGATTCTCAATAATCAAAATCAATGCATAAAATTATCAAGTTAAGAAAAAAGAGCAATTATAAACAACCTCATTGAATTAAATCTATTTTTATTGATTTGTATGAAATAAAGAATTTTACAAATGGCATGTAATATTATATAATTATATTTACTAAAATCGTTACATATCTGATCTGTCAAAGTATATAATAGCCATATTGTGCTCTTTTCTGTCATTACAAGTGATTTTGTTAGAATCTACCAAGAATAGTATTGTAGAATATCTTTTAACTCTGCTGCAAGAGTTTGATTTTTACAAATTTTTTCGGCACAGACTGAGTTGGTGTTCTCATCATTTGGCACAGCTATATCTATTATCTCAGCTGTCTTCATCTTATTATTGATTAACACGATATCAGGTCTGTTATGGATCATTGTATGGTCTGTTATTAAAAGATTGATTCCAGTACAATTTCATTTCTTCCTTCTGGATAAGTTCTTTAGAGTTGCACTTATAACAAGGAATAAAATCCTTTACTAACTTTCTTTTTAGACCAATTGCCTGATGATAGTATATTATTATTATTATTATTGTAGTATATGCTATTCTGGATCTCAGGAGTAATAGATTCTGACGAACGAGGTGTCAAATGAAATAAAAGTTCCTGGAAAAGTTAAAAATTTCTGTTAATTCATTCTACAACTGTTCTAAAAGTAGGAGGTTTTAAAACTTCTTCAGTTAGTAATTTGGCAGATCAAAATGAGAAATATTCTTCTTTCCTTAGATTTTAACTCAGACATCTAGGCCAACGCATTTTAAGGTCCTAGAATAGACCATATGCGAGATTAGATTAATAACAATTCTTGCTGA